GCCAAAATTATATGGTCTTCCCTGTGTGGGTACACTATAGACCCCATCAGCGCTAACCAAATGTGAGGATTATTGGGATTATGTGCAATCCAACAACGCATGTAAGGTTGAATGAATCCCCTCCCCATGTAAATATAAATGCAAGATATCATGACTTGCTTTTCTGTTCAATGAGAAATACACAAGGGCATGACCCACTCCCAATGTACCCCAATCATACTCGATACCTCAGCACTGTGTTTGAACAGAACTATTTCTTGTACCATACTTGTACTAATTCAGAATTGCTTGACCAGTAGTGTAGCACAATCTTTCAAAGTCAAGCCAGGAAGCCTTATAGAACTTTTACTTATGAAAAGAATGAAAAGTAAAGACTTTATGGAATAAGAAACATACATAACTATCTAACATTTGCTTTGAAACAAAATCTTCCAATGCATTTCACAAATAACCTTGTAACAATGTTCCAGTTGTATGGTCATACAACCAGCAAACTATATAACATTTGGTCCTTATAATATTTGTGAAACCACAATGTTAATCTGTTACAAGAGCAATGGTTCCACTCTTCAGTCTGGGATAGGAAAAAAAAGAATACAATTTTAATACTGTACATCTAGTGCTGGGATGGTATCATATCCTCACACGAGAAGCACAATTTGGAGGAAAGCACCAGGCCAGTGCTTTATAATTGTGGTCTCACAATGTAATTGGATTCTAAATCCCATCACACATACAAAGTATCAATGGTTAAAGATGATGGGAGTTGAAGTCCAACACAAATTGAATAATCCCTATCCCTCCTACATTACAAATAGGAAACCATTAGTTTTTTGTTGCATTACTAACAGGTTTTAGGGGGGAAGTTCAGAATTCTTCATTTCAGTTTCTCAAAGGGACCAAATGAAGTCTGTCAATTTCTTTTTAAATGAAGTATAGCTGTGGTTCATTACCAACTTGAACTGAGCAATAGCTTTGGAGGAAATGATACTTAACCTTGTGTCAGTTTCTTAACTAGCATTGCTGCCAATGATGCTGTTTCCCCCAGTTTCGATAGCTAATTATAGAAATCCACTCAAGGGCTATCTTACATTCTGACTAATTTATAGCAGTTATAAGGAAATGGCACCACCTGCTGTTTCACTTATGCATAATTTCGTTGTGTTGGGTGCTATGTTGTGCTTTTCATTTCCTAAAATGACAAGAAGAGAGTAATGGGAGAAGAGAGTAATGTTGTTTTGTAATGTTGTTTACTACACAAATGCCCAAGAAGTGGCCGAAGACATAGTATTCAGGCAGACAGAGCTAGTATCATCATATCTAGTAGGCTTGTATTTGGACTCCTGTAAGGTCCTTACTTGTCAACCAGCTGCTAAAAACTAACACTGCAACAAAACTGCCAAAATGAGGTGCATGGGGACAAAAAAGTGAAACAGTTGTTTAAATTAATTAAAAGAGTCACATTCTTTGCACTAAATCCAAAGTCTGAATTTTAGAGTAAATAATGGCAAAAGCTATTTATTGTGGTTTCTTTATACCAGTGGTTCCCAAGCTTTTTTTGACCAGGGACCACTGGGCCAGGGAGCACTTAACTAGGGACCACTTTGACCAGGGACCATTTGACCAGGGACCACTTTCCAACATTAATATCAAAAGGGTTATGAATCAGTTTTTGGTCAATTTTGGATTCGGTTTGGTTATTTGGGGTGCTGATTCAGAAAATTGCATTGGATAGTCCACATCAGCTGTAGTTTCTGATACAGAACATATGCCACCCAGTAGTTGCCATCTGCTTGCCCACAGAAAACAATATTTAATAATCTAGGGTTGATGTGGTAGTAGTAGTCTTTTGTGGGTAGTCAGCCTCTCCCTTCCTGACACCCCCATTACCTCGGCACAGGCCCGTAGCCAGGATTTTGATTCGGGGGGAGCTGAGTTTGATTTGGGGGGAGGGGGGCTGAGTCTGAGTGAAAGAGGGTCTACCATAGCAAACCTTTTGTATCGTTACCCCAATACCCCCATGCATATGGGATACATTGAGCATGGTGATCAGATCATGATATGACTAAACATAACAGTTTAAATAATGTACCAGTAAGGCCTTCTTGCGGACCACCATGAGAATTTCGCCCCCCCCCCCCCACCTTCCCGGATACATGCCTGCTGCAACATGCCTGGTTTATATTAACAAGGAACCAAAATGTAGGGGCAGTGTTTTTTCAAGCTCCCCCTCTGGCTACATGCCTGCCTCGGCACTATGAGGGTTTTGCGGGACCAGTTGCTCTCGTTGCTGCATGGTTTTGAGGCAATGGTGTAGTAATGGTGAGGCTTCAAACCATATATTTATCATTATGGACCACTGGTGGTCCACGGACAGGTTGGGAACCACTGCTTTATACTCTAATGTTCACAACTATTATGATTTGTCATCTAGTTATTTTTTGATCTTTTTATGCAAAAGTAATGGTAGATGTTTTCAGACAAAGATTTTTTTATGCAACTGCATTATCAATTTTATGGGGCATAGGTCCACTTATTATTGTCATCTTCTATTGGTTATCTTCTTGCGTTTTCCCATTGTTTTTCTGATCTTTTTTCCTTTCCGCAATCAATCACTTATGGAAGAAAAAGCAGAAACAATATAGAATGTCCTTTGATGGGCAGCACCAGAAGGTGTCCGTATGTGAGTACCTAGTGAAGGTGAGCTGAAGGGGAAAGTCATAGTGTTGTGCATTCCCTGCTAGAAATATCACTGCACATGTCAAAACAATCCCCCTTTAAAAGTCAGAAAAGGCTTGCCTGCACTTCTGCTCTATATCTATGCTTTCAAGTCATCTATCAACTTATGATGACCTCATACGTTTCATAGGGGTTTCTTAGGCATGGAATACTCAGTTGGTTTTGTCAGTTTCTCCCTTCAAAATAGAGTATACAATACTTAGGATTCGTTGATGGTCTCTCATTCAAACAACTCATTCAAAATAACAATTATAATAGGCAAATGTCTGGATTATGAGTTCTCAAAAGAAATTGTAAGATAGGGAAACATGGTAACAACCTGTCGCAGCATTTGAGTCCCAAGATGCTGCTGTACTACTTAGGAATCCCAGCCAGTGACCAGGAATGATGGGAGATGCAGTACAACATTGGCTAGAGATTTAAGGTTTTAAAAGGCTAGTGTGAATGAACAAAAAGTGCTGTTTTAAATATAGATATCCAATGTGGAACCTCTCTTGTTCTCATAGCTCTCTATAGAAAGGTTGCTAGTTCTTTGAGGGGGAAAAACAACCTTTCACAGATTTTTTTTTCTTGCCATAGAAATCTATAATGTAACTATCCATATTTACTTGAATCTAGTGTGCCATTGTATGTAATGCACACCTCAATTTTCAAAAACTAAAAGACGTATTTGCTGGCTAATGTAATGCACAATGGCAAAAAGTGCACTCTTTCTGATTTGTTCCATAAAAGGACACTTTGTCAGGGTTTGCACACATTTTTCCTAGGAATAAAGAGACACTCCAATTTATCTTTAAAACAAATGTGTGTGGTAAGAAAATGCACGCTGCAAGAAATGTGGACTAATTAAACTTTCTGGTTTGAAATATGAAACTTTATTAAATTTTCACCAAAATTAAAATTCAGGAAGATTCCAGAGTAGGAGCATATCTAAATACTACAAACCAATGTCTATGTTCATAAATATTAGGAATATTAGAGGACCATATATGTGCTTAATAGATCTCAGCACAATCTCTTCTGCAATGCCATACAGCTGTGGTGCAGCTAAATATATTTCAAATGACAACACTGATAGAGACCTGTATGTGGTGTTATTGCTACATTTCATGCATGCAAACATGGGTTCCCTTCCCATTACTGGTTTTGTTGAAACACATACATGAAGGATTGACATTTGCAAGGAAGATGTGAAGAGAGTGAGGCTTTATATACCTATTCATTCCTGCTAGAGCATCCTCCTGAACAGGTTTTTTTTTCAGACCTGATTGAGGAAATGTGGATGATAGGAAAGAGTACCAAAGAAAGTTAAATATATAGTTGGCCCTCCACATTTGTGGGGTTACGGGAGCAAGAATCCATGAAAGTAGGGAAACCAGAAATATCTTCTGGGACGGGTCAAAGCTTCTCTGTGGAGCTGGCAGATGTGAGGGCTTGCTGTTCCTCCACCTATTCCGAAATGGCGAGGAGAGGGAAACGATCAGCAATGCTACTGTTTACCAACCATATCTGGAAGCCTAGACATCGCTGGTTCAACCGCTCCCACTTGCATCTTTCTGCTTTCTTTTTTGTGCCCACATATGGGACCATAGTAAGTCCTTCTCAGCTGGGAAATTCTTTTTTTCCCCTCCCCATTTCTCTTTCCTGTCTGCTGCCCCATTTCCAGTGACCCTCTCCACCCCCCCCCTTTTTTTTTTTTTGCAAGCATCCATCTGTTGGGTTTGGTTTCTCTCTCTTTGCTGGGTGGGTAGGCTGCTACTTGACCCAAGTGTGAGGTTTTCCTTCAGAGCTGGCATCATCATCTGACAAGATCTCTTGTCACATGACATTTAGAAAGATGGGCTAGCAATGGCAAACTTTCCCCTGAACCCTGGTGTTGCACTTCTAACCTCGACTGGATCCTAGTGATGGCACCCAGACTGTTGGGGCAGGAGTGATTAAGGAAAAGGACCACTGTTGGTATAGGAGGAACCAAGGCAAGGAAAATTGAAGCAGCTAACCCTCCTTGTCAGGGGTGATGGTCTCTCCCAGGACCTAGATCTTGGCTGCTACAGCAGTTAGCTTGCAGAGTTAGTGGCGTCTGGTGCTTCCCCACTCCTTCACTTCTATGAGAGCATCATGGTGCGGAGCTTTTGAGTTCAGCTAGCAGTTGAGAGTGAGAACCTGGTGAGAGAATTTTGTGCCTGAATAATAGGAGAGCAAAGATGCCCAGAATCTTGCCACCCAGAAAGATGTTTCATCTAAGGGAAAAACTTAACTCATATCAGCCCGTCTGCTCAGTAAAGAGCAAGAAACCAAACCCGGCAGGTGGATTTTATTTTAAAAAAAAGAGTCTGAGGCATCAGGTGGGAAGCAAGGAATAGCAATGTGATAAAAAGAGACTTTCTTAGCTACAGAGGGCTTGTCCTGGCCCCACATGCCACTGGAACCTTGGAGGAACAAGGAGGGAAACCCATGAATGATCAAATCTGCAAGTCCCAAACCTGTGAATGTGGAGGGCCAACTTTATCTCTCTTAATAGTTACTTCCTCTCTGCAAATTCCTCATGTCTGCAAACACATTATTAAGCAACCATGTGGGAATATGCAAGTCTGGTCCATGAAAGAGAACTAGTTCTTCTTTAGCATCTAGCAGTAAAACATTTCCATTGCACAGTTTAATATATACATAGATACATATCTCAAAATGCTTTATACATTATTGGAAGTTTCACACTTCTGCACTACAATATACAACCAGGAATTCAAGAGGTACATAATTGTGATTATGGGCTAAAAACAGAAGCATCACTCTGTCCCAACATTCAATGATGCAAAACCTGGGTGAAAATAATCTCAAACGAAAAGGATAGAAAATGTACAGGTCAATTTTATAAGTTAACTAAATAAAAACAAGTTAAACCAGTTAAAACACCACTCAAGATTTACAAACACATGTACCATTCATTTTCCGCTCATGAAACATAGCCCACTGACTATATTTTGTGGATTTCCAAGTACTTGACAACTCCCACTTTGGCAATTCCAGGCAAGCAGCAATATCAAAAGGCAAATTAGGCACACACTACATGGAAATATATGGTTGGTGAGCTACACATTTCTTTATGCCTCCAACATTGTGGTAGAAAAGTCCACAAATGCACAGAACGGTAACCTGATAATGCTCATACAATTCCCCTTGAATGGATACCCAGTCGAAATTTGGGAGGTTCTGACACATGTCTTGATACTCTCCTTGTCTTCAGTGACATTCGCCCTGCTCTTCTGCCGTCAATAATCATCATAGCATAAGCTACAATGAAGGAGAGCCATATGCAGTCACAGAGGATCCTACAGAACAATCCAAACCATTCCAAAGGACTGATGGAAAAATTAGCTCTCTTTGCAGCCCTGCTAGTTAAGGTTACAATGATGAAATTGGTTACATCATAAATAATTATCCAAGTAAGGTAGATAAATAATCCCACTGTGTCTCGCTTCCGGACAGAATAGAGGAAGTACATACATACTACAAAAGAAATACAGGCTAAGCCAATCGCTACATAATAGCAATATGGAATAATCCTCACGATGCCCGCAGACTGTCTTGCATCACTTGCCTCCATTTTTAATAAGGCCCGTTCTAGGTGTCCAAACTCAAAGATAAGGTACATAACTGTCATCAGAATCATATACACACCACCTACAACACATCCTCCTTTTGGTGTTAGGCCACAGATGCCACCGGAGCACAGCTGAAATACTTTTTTGGGTAAAACTTTCTGAAAGAGAAAGAATGTTGAATTAGTAGAGCAAGATATAATAATAAATAATAACACAATGATGAGAATAATGATAATGATGATAGTAGTAGTAGTAGTAGTAGTAGTAATAATAATAATAATATATGAAAGATGTCTCCAGACTTTTCTGAGGAAGAAAATATAGGTGGTAAGTTTAAACACTATGACAGAGGGTAAATTTCTGAACTTACTGTGGAAACTGGAAACCATGAATAACAGTTTTTTTAATCGTGTCAGGAGCATCCTGTTGTGAGAGAATTGGCCATCTGCAAGGACGTTGCCCAGGGGACGCCTGGATGATTTTGATGTTTTATCATCCTTGTGGGAGGCTTCTCTCATGTCCCCGCATGAGGAGCTGGAGCTGATAGAGGTAGCTCATCCACCTCTCCCCGGATTCGAACCTGCGACCTTTCGGTCTTCAGTCCTGCGGGCACAGGGCTTTAACCCACTGCGCCACCAGGGGCTCCAAATGGATAACAGTGAATCCTCTTAAATTAAATAATTTCGGCCAGAAGTTACAATTGATTCATCCTGGGAGACCTCTCTAGGAATTAGCTATGGTAATTTCCAGTGAAAGTATACCATAGAATTGCCTGGAGAACTTAGATATTTTTTAGCGAGGACATATTTTATTGCAGGTAGGTGGGTGAAACTTGCTTCTGCAGATATGAGCTTCTAAAACAATAATTTTTTTTCTGAAGCATGCTTGGATACCCAGACAGGGAAGCTTACAAAATAATATGACTATAACATTAACTTAGTAGAAAACGGTATGAGCAATCTCTCAGACAGGGGGAGTATCTCTCAGCAAAATATATTCCTGTTTCAGTTAGGTTTATTCCCATGTAAATCTGCATGGACAAGCAGATAAAGTAAAATTTAAATCTGTTAAAAATAAGGTTTATTGAAAAACATGTTTTTAAAGAGACAGCCTTTTTAGCCTGTTTTGTCATACAAAAAATAGATGGAGTCATACTGCAGTAGCACATCTGATAGTGATTTCTTTTTTCATGGATTTTTGTATTTCAAGATATATTGATGTATTGGAACACGCGCTCGAAACAAATGTTTAAGCACAGTTTTACAGGAGTGGGATAGAGTTTTGCTTTGTTGGTCTGAAATTCTAGTTTCTGTTTTCAGTACTGGAGAAAACAGCAGAGAGTTTCGTTTTCTTCACTTTGAGACTTCATATGAATATATATACCTTCCTCAAATTCTTTGTTTCATTGTAGAAAAAGGAGAACAGTTCAAGGAAAACAAAACCAGAATAGAAAAGGCTCCAACTTTCTGTTGGTAGCAGATTTCAGTTGATCTATATTGGTTACCATTGCAATACTCAGTTCAATTCACTGAATATGGTTTTCTAATAGCAATAGAAGTTGCAGCAATGTTTTATTTTTATTTTGCTCACAGTGCTCGAAAACATTGCTGCAATTATACAATAGGATCATTACACTCTTATTTCACCTAAAAACTGACCATAAAGCAACATAACATGTGTTTTTCTTGCGCATAAGAATTATAAGGCAAAGGACAGAGCTGTGCTAACAATGTTGCTCATTACTTATGTACTAAGGAGCCCCTGGTGGCACAGTGGGTTAAACCCTTGTGCTGGCAGGGCTGCTGACCAAAAGTTTGGCAGTTTGAATCCAGGGGAGCGGAGTGAGCTCCCATCCGTCAGCTCGAACTTCTCATGTGAGGGCATGAAAGAAGCCTCCCACAGGATGGTAAAACATCTGGGCATTCACTGGGCAACATCCTTGCAGATGGCCAACTCTCTTATGCCAGAAACGACTTGCAGTTTTTCAAGTCACCATTGACATGAAAAAACAAAACAAAAAATGTATGTACTGTGGAAATGTCCCCTAACTATATGCTTAATATGAAGTGTCCTACTAAATAGTGAGCACATTTTTAAAAAGAAAAAAACAAAAACCCTTTTTTCTTGTTTGGGGGGAAGGTGGGAATCAAATTATGAGCAACACTTTTTAAATTATAAAGCATTTTTTTTAAATAGAACACGAATAACAAACAACATTCCCCTTGGATGTGAAACCACACTTGTCAAAGCAAATATCATTGCTATTGTAAAACAATACCTTATTATTTTCTTTATATTATTAATGAAAAACAAAACTCACTATTAAAAGCATGCTGTGCAATGCATTTGCTAAGTAAACATAAGTAAATTAACACAAACCACTTTTCTAGAAATAACTTATACAGGCAAAAATGAATTGTACTCATGATTTAGGTTGACATTTTATCCATTATTACAGGCTGTTGTGTTTCTTCAAGTCATTTCTAACTTGTGGCAACTCCTTGGCAAGTTGTTCAGAGGGGAATTGCCTTTGGCTTCCTCTGCGAGGGTTGCGCCTTGTGTCTTATCTTGGGAGCTAAGCAGGATCACCCTTGCTTAGTACTTGAATGGAAGAATGCCAATGAATCCAAGTGTACTAAGTGATATTTTAGAATAAGGAACTGGCAAAACTACATCTGAGTATTCCTTACCTAAAAAAACCCTATAACATTCATGGGGTTACTATAAGCTGATAAGCAATTTGTAAGTGTACACACACTGAAGCACACAAAGTAAGCAATCTGACAAAACTGTTTTGAAAGCAGACCGACCCTTATTATTTTCACAAGGAATGTCTCCTGAAAAACTGTGCATGTGTATGCATTTTGGCACACCTTTAATCATAACTGATGTCACAAAGAGCTAAACAACATTTTAAGTTAAATGTGTATTTTTGTCTAATGTGCTGGTTTTCAAAAACATAATCTGTATCAGCTTCAATTTTTGAAATGTTGGCTATGACAACTCACTCTGTCACTGTTGTCATTCACACACCCTTTCCTATGGAGATACTTCAGAATAAGCATTGATCTATGTGTTCTTTTTCTCACAGGTTTCTATGGCTATTAATTGCTTTCAGAGGTAAAATCAATTATTTCTAATTTCTTCTCACCATTCTTAATTTGGCTCCTTCCATGTTGTTTATTTTCTCTCTCCACTAAACAGTAGTAATGCGCTGAGAATCCTGAGATCACTTCCTATACAATTTCTGTGAAGAAGAAAGAAATAATCTTTTTAAAATATGTATCTATTCAGAACTACAGACAATGGTCATGCAATGCACTTATTCAACCTACATGAAAAATGAGGGCTTGTAGACACCTTTTTTGTATGGCAAAGATCAATGCAGATTGGAAATGCCTGCAATATACACTAGCCTCATTCATCATGAAATGTTATAGCATACTCATAAGCAAAATTGGTGTGCAATATACCCTATATACTCACGTATACGCCAAGAAATTTTGGTACACAAATCAACCCCCCCAAAACTGGGTCGGCATAGTTCTGGGTCAATGTGAATATTGTACCTTAACACTAATCAAAAACTGAACCATCCCCTTTTCTGAATAGAGTGACAAATAGATGAGAGCTTACTCTGTTGTTAGGAGAGCCTAAAAGAAGCATTAATACCCTACATTTCTCTTTGCCATGGCATTGCTTCTGGCTTTTTTAAATAATCAGGTGGGAAGATGGCGGTGGTGACCAGGGGTTACCTAGGTGGCAATGGTGCTTTCTCCTCTCTGTGAAATGACCTTCTACCTATCCATAGTTTATATTAAAATCTATAATTTTGGGCCCCAAATCTGTCCTCAACATATATGTGAGGTCAACTTTGATGACCATGCTGAAAACATCGCAAGATTGAAAAGGTTAAAATTCTTCTTTTTCTGACTTGGTGTATTCCAGAGAAGTATGAACAAAATATACAGATATTTATGGTTACTGTCCATATTCATTTCCCATCGATTCAGTGTATGATTTTGCTTTTTCCCTCTTCATGCCGAATTTCCAAACATCTTTTCAGTCTGAACAGGCTTTCAGATTAAACATAAGCAAAACATTAAACATAAGTAAGTATTTCGTCTTAGTAAGTGGTGTTACTCGACCAACATGCCATGGGATCTTTGAGAAAGTCTGATTAGGTGAAATTCAAAGATCTGTCTTTGATCAGCTGTTCTCGTAATAAACTCTAACAAGCTCTTCAACTGCTGCAACATATAAATTTTCAGACAATATTGTGAGTGTATGTTAATTTTGGATTATATATGTTAAGTAAAAATAACTTTCAGAAGGAAATTGGTATTCTTAGCTCACTCTTCACTGAAAAAAAGAATGACTTACAGAGAGCAGTAATATAACATAAGTCTACTGTACTGTAAGAATAACCACGAAGGGTTTTGTGCTAGGTTGCTGTGAGTTATCTGGGATGTAAGGCCATGTTCCAGAAGCATTCTCTCCTGATGTTTCAGCCACATCTATGTCAGGCATCCTCAGAGGTTGTGAGATTAGTTGGAAACAAGCCACTTGGAGTTTATACATCTATGGAATGTCCAGGGTGGGAGAAAGAACTTTTGTCTGTTGGAAGCAAGTATGAATACTGCAACTGATCACCTTGATTAGCATTGAATAGCCTTTCAGCTTCAAGGCTTGGCTGTTTCCGCTCTGGGGGAATCTTTTGTTGGGAGGTGATTAGCTGGCCCTGATTGTTTCCTGTCTGGAATTCCCCTGGTTTGGAGTGTTGTTTTTTATTTACTGTCCTGATTTTGGAGCTTTTAAATACTGGTAGCCAGATTTTGTTCATTTTCATGGTTTCCTCCTTTCTGTTGAAATTATCCACATGCTTGTGGATTTAAATGGCTTCTCTGTGTAGTCTGACATGGTGGTTGTTAAGAGGAGTCCAGCATTTCTGTGTTCTCAAATAATATGCTTTGTCCAGGTTGGTTCATCAAGTGCTCTGCTAAAATGAACTACAACAGGGAAAAATGTGTAGTATGACACAGGCAATAAAAATGAAATGCATCAATATAGCATGGATGATAGTGGGCTTGGATAACAGTCCATGTGAAAGGGATCAAGGTGTAGAATTGATGTAATCCTCATTTTAAAAGAATTATTCCCCTATCCCTGAACAAGAAGTTCAGCCAGGGAAAGGCTCTTGGTCTTAAGAGGGAGGGGATACCTCACCCTACATGGCAGGGCGATGTGCCCTCTTGCACATACCGCAAGATGCCATGGAGTTAACCTACTTTAAGAGAAAAACCTCACTCAAAAGAGGATTATCAGATGTGAGTAACTAAAAATCATGCCAGTAATCTTCATACTGGGATGGGATGGGGGCCTTTTAATTCTTTATTGCAGCAGTTAGGTAGTCTCTCTCTCTCTCCTTTTGGCTGTGTAACTGATTGAGCATTGTCACAACACAACAATACTGTGGAAACTCAAAAAGCCAAAAGCACATTTCACAGGGCAGGGAGAAACTCAGTCCCACATCTCCTATTCCTTAGAAGAATTTTTCAAAACACATTTGACAGGAATGCCGTCTTTTTTATTGTCATTCTGGCAAACCTATGGATGGGACAATTCTGCAGCAGAGGCGTTTGAAAGATTTCTCAAGATGAGGCATTTGCTTACTATTTACAGAGCATTCTTATAGATGTCTACCCAGATGGTGGGGTATTTTCTCAGGCAAGCCTGTCTAGGTGTGCAGCCTTAACCAGGTAACTCTGGGTTGGGAATGGGTAAACTTGGGCCCTCCAGGTGTTTTAGACTTCAACTTCCACAATTTATACAATGTCATGCTCTTTCCTTTCTCCCCTCAGCCGCTTAGGCAAAAAAGGAAGGGGCCTGAGGCTGGGTTGCTGTGAGTTTTCGAGGCTGTATGGCCATGTTCCAGAAGCATTTTCTCCTGATGTTTCACCCACATCTATGGCAGGCATCCTCAGCGGTTGAGGGGTCTGTTGGAAACTAGGCAAGTGAGGTTTATTTATCTGTGGAATGTCCAGGGTGGGAGAAAGAACTCTTGTCTGCTTGAGGCAAGTGTGAATGTTACAATTGGCCACCTTGATTAACAATTAATGGCCTTACAGCTTCAAAGCTTGGTTGCTTGCTGTCTGGGGAAATACTTTGTTTGGATGTGTTAGCTGGCCCTGATTGATTCTCGTCCAGAATTCCCCTGCTTTTTTAGTGTAGTTCTTTATTTACTGTCCTGATTTTAGAATTTTTAAAAAAACCGGTAGCCAGATTTTGTTCATTTCCATGGTTTCCTCCTCTCCTCCTGTTGAAATTGTCCACATGCTTGTGGATTTCAATGGTTTCTCTGTGTAGTCTGACATGGTAGTTGTTAAAGTGGTCCAGCCTTTCTGTGTTCTTAAATAATATGCCGTGCCCAGGTTGGTTAACCAGCACCCATAGGGATTGGTAGGTGCCAAATAAGTGTAGTTTCTGGTTGCTTGAGAGTTGCTATTCAAAACAAGCCTAATACTATATGTCGTACTATCTCATAAAACACTGTACTAACCTGACATTAGTATTCAAATATAGTAATTAAAAGCAAAATCAGAGAAATGTAACCTAGTTTCACTGTGTTATAAACACGTATTTTCAATTTAATGATTTATTCTATTTTAATGCTGGTTACTTGAGTGTTCTGGTTAACTGAGTCTATAGCAGACCTGGGTAAACTTAGGTCCTCCAGATGTTTTGGACTCCAGCTACCACCATTCCTAACAGCCTTAGGCCCTTTCCTTTCCCCCTCAGCTGTTTAAGCAGACATGAAACATAGGAAGGGGCCCAAAGCTGTCCAAAAGCCTGGTCCCAGAACCACAACTTCAATTTCTTCCTAAAAGACAGGAGGGATGAAGCCGATCTTACCTCTTTGGGAAGCGAGTTCCACAGGCAGGGGGCTACAGCCAAGAAGGCCCTGTCTCTTGTCCCCGCCAGACGTATTTGCGACGCTGGTGGGAGCGAGAGCAGGGTCTCCCCGGATGATCTTAAACTGCAAGGCGGGATGTAGCGGGAGATGTGTTCAGATGAGTAAACTGGGCTAGAACCATATAGAGCTTTATAAGTCAAAACCAGCACTATGAATTGACTGGGTTGTTGTAGGTTTTTCCGGGCTATATGGCCATGTTCTAGAGGCATTTTATCCTGATGTTTTGCCTGCACCTATGGCAAGCATCCTCAGAGGTAGTGAGGTCTGTTGGAAGGAGGAAAATGGGTTTATATATCTGTGGAATGACCAGGGTGGGACAAAGGACTTTTGTCTGCTGGAGCTAGGTGTGAATGTTTCACACTATCAATTGAGTTTGGAAGTGGATCGGCAGCCAGGGGAGCTGACACAACAAGGGGGTGGTGTGCTCCCTGTATGTCACTGATTGTGTAAAAGGGCAGATGGTAATTTTGTCAGTGCTGATTGTGTTTAAGTGCAGGCCAAGGTCTTTAGGCACTGCACCCAGTGTGCCCATCACCACTGGGACCACCTTGACTGGTTTGTGCATTATTATTATTATTATTATCTTTCCCAAAGGCTCCTCCCTAGATCTCCTTCAGGTCTGTCTGAATCCTGTATTGGTTGGAAACAGCAGCCCCATCTTGTGCTACTTCTCAAACCACAGAGGCTGGATCCACACTGGGAGATGGAATGCACTTTGACACCCTTTAACATGCCCAGTGTGGAACACATTTCACCACGCTAAAACAGTAGATGTGGCTCTTAATGAGACATGCCGCATTATCACGGGGTGCCTGCGCCCTACACCACTGGAGAAATTACACTGTCTAGCCGGTATTGCATCACCTGACCTCCACTGGGAAGTAGCAGCCAATAGTGAAAGGACCAAGGCAGAGACATCTCCAGCTCATCCCTTGTTTGGATATCAGCCAGTACATCAACTTAAATCAAGAAATAGTTTTCTAAGATCTACAGAAACACTTGCTGGAACACCTCAGCAAGCGAGAGTCCAAAAGTGGCAGGCTCAAACCCAGAACCTCAACCAATGGCTGATACCAAATGAGAGACTCCCCCCTGGGCACACAGAGGACTGGGCGACTTGGAAGGCGCTGAACAGACTGCGCTCTGGCATCACAAGATGCAGAGCCAACCTTCAGAAATGGGGCTACAAAGTGGAATCCTTGACATGTGAGTGCAGAGTGGAGCAAACCACAGACCACCTGCTGCAATGCAACCTGAGCCCTGCCACATGCACAATGGAGGACCTTCTTATAATAACACCAGAGGCACTCCAAGTGGCCAGATACTGGTCAAAGGACATTTAATCAACTACCAAACTCGCAAACTTTGTGTTTTGTTTGTCTGTTTGTTAAAAAATGCAATGCAACTGTTTGGTCTGCTCCTGACACGATTAATAAACAAAAACCCCTTTAACTGCAATGGTTCCTGGCTGTGGAGTCCTGGGAGCTGTAGTTTGGAGAGGCACCAGGACCATTTGGGAAAGAAATTTAAAGACTTCCTAAAACTAAAGCCACAGCCTGGAGTCCTGGCAGCTAAAGTGGTGCCAGACTGCATTCCTTTTACAGTGTAGTGTTAGAGGCAGGCAAAGAGGTGGATGCCAGATCTGCCCTGAGTTTGCAAGCGCTTGGCCCGTGGCTTGGAAGGCCTGACTCGAGCCTATCGGGCTCCGTGCTTCTTTTGGAATCTCCCCCTGGCTCCATTACCTCGCCCTCCTTCCTCTTCGCGCTCCTCCCGAAACCCGCGACCAGTTTTGACAGTTAAACTGCCTAACCGAAACCCGCCCCTTTCCTTCCCTTCGCTCCGCCCCTTCGTTTTTATTGGGCGAACCGACCCGCCTCGCGCGCCCTTTCCGCGGCTTCTGATTGCTCGCTTCTGCCCTTCGCTGCTTCACGCAGTTCCTGGCTCAGGATTGGCTGGCTCGGTGGACGTCCGGCGAGGTAACCAATGGCGTGAGCGCGCTCGCCCGGATCCAAGATGGCGGCGCCGGGGACTGGCGAGGAGGGCCCCGAAGGAAGGAGCTGAAGCGGCCTCGGCCGGAGGCTTTGGGCCCCGGCGCCTGCCTTCCCTCGGAGCTGGCTTCTGCCCCAGCGATGGCTGCGGAAAGCAGCAAGCAGTTCTGGAAGCGGAGCGCCAAGCTACCGGGCAGGTGAGTGAGGCAAGGAGCGCCGGTGTCTCTGAGATCCCGCTGAGGCGATGCCGGTTCAGCCCCTCATGTCATGTGTGGCGCCTTCCGCGGCTCAGGCTCCCTTTCTGAAGCAGAGAAGCGCCAACCATTAATGGGTCCACGAAGGAAAGGTGTTCCCTCTGCGGTTGAGGAGATCCCTCTCTCTCTCTCTCTCTCCCCGGGAATTCGCAGCCTTGTTGACCCCAACGGTCTTTGGCGGCGCTTGGCAGCCACTTTGTTCGGCTTCCACCGCTCGAAGCTTCGAAATAGAGCTCTCCCCAGAAGCCTAGAATCTGTGCAATTTCATACCACGTTAACTGCTATGGCTCAGTGCTGTGAAATTGTAGTTTTACAAGGTCTTCAACCTTCTTTGCCAGAGAGTGCTGGTGCCTCACCAAACTGCAGCTCTTAGGATTCAATAGCACAGAGCCATGGCAGTCAAAGTGGTGTCAAACTACATTGGATCTGCAAAATAGAGTCCAGCAAGACAGAGCCCTGTGAATAGGCTACGGCAGGAATGGGCAAACTTGGGCCCTCTCTCCAGGTGTTTTGGACTTCAGCTCCCACAATTCCTAACAGACCCAGGCTCCTACCTTTCCCCCCTCAGATGCTTAAGCGGCTTAAATGGCCTGAATTTGTTAGGAATTGTGGGAGTTGAAGACCAAAATACCTGGAGAGAGGGCCCAAGTTTGCCCATGCCTGGGCTAGGGTCTTTCTCCTCGGATGAGAAGTTGCTCCTTTATTTGGATGGATCAGTCCATGTTGATCCACCTTTGAGATTCCACAGATATATAAACATCACTTGCCTAGTTTCCAGCAGACCCCTCAACTTTTGAGGATGGCTGCCATAGATGTGGGTGGAACTTCAGGAGAGAATGCCTCTGGAACATGGTCATACAGCCCAGAAAACTCACAGCAACCCAGCCCCGGGCCCCTTCCTTTTCTGCCTAAGTGGCTGAGGGGGGAAAGGAAAGGGCACGAGGCTGTTAGGAATTGTGGGAGTTGAAGTCCAAAACACCTGGAGAGAGCGCCCAATTTTGCCTATGCCTGGGCCAGGGTCTTTCACCTCAAATGAGAAGTTGTTCCTTTATTTGCATGGGTCAGTAGGTGTTGATCCACCTTTGACATGCCACAGATATATAAACATCACTTGCCTAGTTTCCGGCAGACCCCTCAACTTTTGAGGATGGCTGCCATAGATGTGAGTGGAACATCAGGAGATAATGCCTTTGGAACATGGTCATACAGCCCAGAAAACTCATAGCAACCCAGCCTCAGGCCCCTTCCTTTTCTGCCTAAGTGGCTGAGGGGGGAAAGGAAAGGGCATGAGGCTGTTAGGATTTGTGGGAGTTGAAGTCCAAATCACCTGGAGACAGGGCCCAACTTTGCCGAGTCTTTCACCTCGGATGAGAAGTTGTTCCTTTATTTTCATGGGTCATTATGCTGATCTGTTCCTGAACACTTCTATTAAGGTTGCATGCCAAATCAAGCTATGAGTTCTATCCTAAAGCACTGCTTCCAAAACTGCGAATGTCTGGCCCGAATGGGGCCCCCTTAGCTCAATGTTGGGGTCCCAAAAGATTTGGCAACAGTAGAAGCTTTCTGAATGTCACCTAGTGGCTCTTTTAGATGTTTACGCAAATTGATTGTGTAGTGTTTACTCTGCAGAAAATGCCTCGGCTGTACTTTAAAAAAAGAGAAATCAGCCTGTTTAACAAGCCTTGTGAATGCAGATTGGTCAGTAAATATTTGATATTATATACCCTGGTGGCACAGCGGGTTAAACTACTGAACTGCTGAACTTGCTGATCAAAAGGTTGGTGGTTCAAATTGGGGAGTGTGGTGAGCAGCCATTGTTAGGCCCAGCTTCTGCCAGTCTAGCAGTTCAAAAACATGCAAGTGTGAGTAGATCAATAGGTACAGCTTCTGCAGGAAGGTGACGGTGCTCCATGGAGTTATGCTGGCCACATGATCTTGGAGGTGAATACAGACAATGCTGGCTCTTCGACTTAGAAATGGAGATGAGCACCATCCCCCAGAGTCGGACATGACTGGACTTAATGTCAGGGGAGGCCTATATACATAGGGTCATGTAAAAATTACTTGGGCGAAAAGGAGTTCCGAATGGAAACGTTTTATAAGCCTTGTCCTAGGGTACCCTTTTCCTGTCAAAGGTGAAATTGTTTATGAAGAAGTTCAATACATGAGTCAGATATTACTATAAACACACACAAACAAACAAAATGAAGCAGAAGATCTAGGGCAGGAGTCCTCAAACTTTTTAAACAGAGGGCCAGTTCACGGTCACTCAGGCTGTTGAAGGACCAGACTATAGTTTGAAGAAGAAAAAACATGAATTAATTCATGCGCATATATCTTATTTGTCATAAAAAAACAAAAGAACAATACAGTACAAACCTGACACAACCATTTGGCAATGAAGAACAAATTTTAACCAACATAAAACTTACCAGTATTTCAATGGGAAGTATGGGCCTGCTTTTCGCTGATGAGATAGTCAAGTTAATTAGAATTGCTATTGTGCCTTCAAGTAGTTTCAGACTTAGGGCAACCCTAAGTCTTAAGTTTAGGGTGGGGGCTGAATAAATTCCCTTGGAGGGCTGCATCCCGCCTGTGGGCCTTAGTTTGGGGACCTTTGACCCAGGTTGCATCTAATTTGCCAAATGAATACAGTTTGACACTACCTTAACTGCCATGGCTGAATACTTTGGAATCATGGGAATTTTACTATGGTGAGATAACAATACCTTTGGCACAGGAGGCGAAAGAATGTTCAAACCTACAACTCCTATGAATCCACACCTTGTAGCCATTGTAGTTGAAGTGATTTCAAACTTCATTAATTCTACAATGTAGATGCACCCTAGTCTTCTACTGTGGGAATCCTTTTATTAGTTTTGATTTCAGATCTTTCCATAGCACCTCCTTCCAAAATAGGTGAGATGACAGTCTGTGGTGCTTGAATTATAGAAAGGCCAGACAGCCTTCTCCTCCACTTCCTTTTTTGATTCCTCATAATTCAAGGGTAGATATGTACAAAATGCAAGGACTTTGGAATCAAATATTGATTTATTTCCTCTTTCATAATGAATTCTTATTGTATTGTTTGGGAACATGGACCCCAGGAAAATTATTGTTGAGAATAAATTTTGGCTATATTTGGGAGGGATCTTGATTTGTACAAACTTCCGGTTTTGAGGAGAAGTTTCTTATACCAGAGTGTGCAAAAACATTAATTCTACATTAATTATATTACAACAACTTAGCAATGAATATTGAGAGGTAGGTTTTTAGTTCCTTCTTCTGAGATATGTCCTATGGTACCTGGTATTCGTTGGTGGTTTCCCATCGAAGTGCTAAACAGGGTTGATCCTGTTTGGCTTCCCATATTAGATAAACAGGATCTGGTGCCTTTTGGATATTTAGACACACAGTTGTATCTGTATATTGATTTAATTTATTTATTTGCCTGTTAAAAATGTACCTGTCACCATGGAAAAACCTGACACAATCATTTGGCAACTTTAAAGGGGCTTAAGAGATACTGAAACCCTGTTAACATGATCAAGAGTCTGTGTTCCCAAACAATGTGAAGAAAGATCAAGCGACATCTCTAATGACAGATATGTGGTTGTGATAGAGTCTGTATAGATTGTGTAAATGCTATTGTACACATTCCCTCTAACCTCTTCTTGACCCTGCAGTCCCACCACTGCAAGGGCTTAGGAATGCTTAGTTGGCTTTAATTCCTGCCAAGCTAGTTAATTCTGTTTCTGCTTCTAATACATTGTCTTCTGTCAAATGCTAGCAAATTACTGGATAATTTAGATTTGTGAGGAAATACTATAATGTGCCATTTAATGCATATTCTTGAGAAGAAGAAAAATGTCTCTGCAAGTGTGATAGCATCTTACTATCTTAGATTTCTTGTCTTGGTGCCACATCCTGTATGTTTTTTGCCTTTTTCTACTGCAACATTTCACTTTCATTGATATCTACTTTAAATAGTGGAGTTGACTCAACCAGGCAAACCGGTTTTGGGAAAACAAATGTGCCAACTTGAGTGTCAACCTAACCAGTGAATTTCAACTTCATCACTTTCACTGTAAGCTGTCAGCCAGCCAGCAATCTGCTATGATATCTCAGTCCAATGGAAGAGAGACAATGTGTGTTTCTATACTCCAGACTTTAAGCATATATCCATGTGTTTCTTTCACTTTTGCTCTTTCTGTGACTTGTGTTTTCCTTGACATTGACCAGACCAAAGGCTAGGTCATAACCCCTCCCCCTGCCACATATGCACACAGATTTGCTCCAGATTGCTTTTTTTGTGAACAAATGGTCCAAATTGTTTGTTGTGAGCATAGTGTGCCATTTGGTATGGCACCATTTAGCCTGAGCTACGAAAATCCATGCTTGTGGCAAGTAATTCTGATGACCCGCTCATTTCTTGTGTAGTTGATCTTGTCTGGGAAGAAAAAAAATGCTTGGCACACATGGGGTCATGTGAACTGGTCTGTATTAAGCCCAGAACAAGGGAAGGAAAAGGTATTTCGATTGGTGCTATAGGGCAGTGGAAATTCTCAAATAGCTGCTTATCAGCATTGGAAATCTTTCCCATGTGTTCTCTCTGCACTAGCCAAAGGGCAGGCCAAGGAGGAATTTACAGTGGAACTACCATTTCCACAGGCTCAGGATACATGGATTGAACTAACTGTGGATTGAGTGAAATGGCAGCAAGCTCCAGGCACAAGGCACACACACTCTGGGCTCCTCTGACTTTGGGGAGCATGCCAACCTTCTGCAAATGAGTGAACAGAAGCATCCAGATGCTGGCTGGGAACAGGAGATCTGAAAAATCTGACTGAGGCTTGTTGCTACCTCCGCTGTTGCCCTATGCCTTTTTATTAATATAGATTCTAGCATCTACATTTTTTGCTGTCTGCACAGGATCTTGCAACTAACACCACTGCATATACCAAGTCCATTACGAGCGTGCAGTGGATTGCAGTTTGTCTTTTCTTTTCCCTGTAGTAGACATCATGGTAAACTTGTGGGGAAAGCCAAGATTATTTAGTGAATTATGGTATTTATTCAAATCTAATGCTCACCCTTTTTGGCTAAATTACCTTCCCAAAATTAGTTTGTGCATTATATTAGTATAATATGGTAATCTTAGTGCTGACCCAAATCAAAAAGAAGCTATTTCAGGAGCACCTGGAGCTCCTATTTGAGGGACATCATCTCTAAATTAATTGCCATGGCTCAATGTTTTGTGATCCTAGAATTTGTAGTTTATTGAAACATCACCATTCTTTGACATAGAAAGCTCAAGGCTTTGTCAAACGACAGCCCCCATGACCGGTCTTGAGGAGGGTGAACAAGCTGAAGATTAATCCCAACAAGACAGAGGTCCTACAGGGCAGTTGCACGTGGCAACCTGTGCTTGACAGGGTTGCACTCCCTTCAAAGACACAGGTCTGCAGCTTGTGGGTACTCCTGGATTCAGCGCTGACGCTTGATGCTCAGGTGTCAGCGGTGGCTAGGAGGGCCCTCACACAATTAAAACTTGTGCACCAGCTGTGACCATACCTCATGAAGTCTGAACTTCAATTGGTCCAACGTTCGATAGCCAGACTGATAACGGGAGAGAATTACAGGGAGCAAACTACCCCTCTGTTTAAGGAGCTCCATTGGTTGCAGTTCATCTTCTGGTCCCAATTCTAGGTACAGGTTATCACCTACAAAGCCCTGAACGGTTTGGGGCCCGCCTACCTTCGTGACCGCTTCTCCTACCATAAACCTGCATGATCTCTCCAATCCTCTGGGCAGGCCCTCCTTTCACCCCCACCTTTATCACATGTACGACTTGTGGGGGTGAGAGAGAGAGCCTTCTCCGCTGTGACCCCTCCGTTTTGAAACTCGCTACCTAGTGACATTAGGCAAGCCCCTACCCTGGCAGCTTTTAAGAAAGACCTAAAAACTTGGCTCTTCAGATGTACCTTTGGTGAATGAACACATATTTCATATTTTGTCTGTTCCAACTAACTTTGGGCTTGGCCTCATGTTAGCCGCCCCGAGTCTCCTTTGGGGAGATGGTGGCGGGGTACAAATAAAGTTTATTATTATTATTGAACCAGGGCAGTTAAAGTGGATTCCTTCTACAGCATAGATGCACCCCAAGTATTTCTTTTCCATTTGCTGAACGTTTTGGTGTTCTAATACTTTTATTTTTAAAGAAGGAATTATAAGCAGGCAGACACTGCAATGGACACCTTTTTTGACCAAATTATAAAAAGTGCACTTTTAGCCACTGTGCATTATATTTGCCAGCAAATACTGTTTTGGGTTTTGGGGTTTTGAAAATTCAGGTGCATATTAGAAACAATGACGCACGAGACTTGAGTAAATATGTGTATTTGAAGTATGCAACAATTTTGCCGCAGAAGTTTATTTTAGTTACTCTTTACTGCCTCTGTGCTATATTCTGGATAATGTAAATTAATTTATTTGTGAGTTTACCATATATATTTGTGTATAAGTCAATCTTGTGAATAAGCCAGGGCCAGTTTTTGGGGCCAGAATTATGAATTTAATATGGCCCATCGATATATCAAGGGTCATTCTGGCAAGAGAGAAAAACAACAATGCCAATTCAGGGTACCAGCCACCCCTGGTCATGGCCATCATTTCCCTTTTCAGACATTAAAATAGGCCAGAAGCAGCATCATGGCAGAGAGAGCAGAGAGAGATTGATGCTTCTTTTAATTTCTCCTGGGAAGAACTAAGCTTTTGTCTTTCACCACTCTACTTAGAGAAGGGGATGTTAAAGTACAGTACTGACATTGACTCGTAGATAAGTTGATCCAGGTTTTTGGATTGATATTTTACTAAAATGTCTAGGCTTATACATGAGTATATAGGGTAGATGTCTGAACACGAAACTTGATATATGGAAGATATGTTCTAAATCAGATGAATTCCCAGTGAGTTGGAGGTTTGTGTACCTGTTTTGTTTTAATGTTTTAGATATGTCATGTCTTCATACTTTTGACCCATTACATGCGATAAGACATGATAGCTAAATGGATTTTCATTGCAACCAGGCATCATAATGACTGGCAGAAATCAAGTGATCACAAACATCATTGGCACAAGATTAGCAGTTATTCAGATTTTGCCATTCATGCCAACTTACTTTTAACATTCCGTAGATTTGGATATATATATATTTGTAGTCAATTGTTGCTATTTTAATGATGACAGTGTTATTCAGAACGGATTAAAGCAACTCAAAGTGGGGGCTCATGGTCTGATGCTGGTTTCTGAGCCATCTGAGCAACTAGAATGAGAGTGATTCTATGTCGCCAGCAATTGACTGACCTTGGATTATGATTCTGAACTGGCGAAACTTTTAAATGAATGTTTTAATAATTGATTTTAACTGCTGCTTTTAACTGTAATTGTTTATTTATGTGTTAGCATCTAATGGTTGCCTGTTATGAAGCCACTCAGAGTCCCCATCCAGGGGCGAGAAGGATGGGGTACAAATGTGTGAAATAAATAAATAAATCTGTTGACAGTCGCTGTAAAATCTTCAGGAAAGAAAGAATTGCTTGATGAGCTCAAGAACAGTGCTGATCCCTGGCACATAGGGGATCAAATTGTGAGAGCCCCACATCAGATTAAGATTAAGAAACCCTGGACTAAATGGTGGGATCAAAATAAGACGTTCAAAGATAAAAGATTCAGAATTATAGTACAGTGGCAGCAGTTGCTTGTAGGCAATACATTTATGCCCTATTTACTTTTAAGGAAGTATCTGGGATTATTGTTTAATAATTCAGTAGAGGCAAGGAAGTAACATTGTTTATGTGAAAAAAACACATGACTATTCAAGAGTGAATACAAAGTAAGACACTGGTTCACTTCAGCACATACCAATGTACTGTAAAAATAATTTCAAAGAGTTTCGTAAATATTTTTTCTTCATTTGTTTTTCTTCTTGAAATCAACAGGAATTTTCACAATGCTTTAGAATTCGATGTGAACTTGCTGGAATAGAAACAAGGTGCTTACTTGCTTCTTTTTCATATACATACTTACGAAGAAGCCATTTGAAAAACTACGTATAAAAAAGTGCAAATTCACATAATCTATTAATATTGTAACTAGAACTGAAAAGGTTCTCTGCACATGCCTTTTCCTAGGCTCATTCTCTTTGCATCTATGTATTTGTTCTGATAAAACATCTGTTATGCTGTAGTGGCAGTAAAGAAAGTATCTGTTCTCCTATTAGAAATACTGCCTTTCAGCTCTATGTGATTTTGAAGACTTGGAGTTTGTGTATGGCCCTTGATATACTTATAACTGAGTCTTAAGCAGTTTTTCATAATCACTTGAATAGTACTTTCTTTGTTTTCTCTGCAGCATTCAACCTGTCTATGGAGCTCAACACCCTCCATTGGATCCCCGACTCACTAAAAAGTATGTAATGCACCTTCACCTCTACAGCAGACAGTTGCTTAGTATCATTGTTATATAAGTCACTTCCATGAGAGAAAGGCTTTTTTCTCTATCCACTTACTTTATTCTCTTATGGAATAATATCATTGTGGCTGCAAAGTGTTTGGGGGAAAAGCCATTTCATGCTGATGACTGACAGTGAGTTTAATGGATCAAACACAGTGCCTGGTGTGTTTGAATGAAACATCAACTTTGGGTACAAAATTGCACATTTTCCTAAATGAATTTGAACTGGGAAAATCCCTTTTTAGAACTGGAGAACACATTTTCCTTTGCAAACTAGAACTTGTGAGAACACTTTAGGATTGGAGAATATACAGTTATGAGTGGAAGATTTTCTGTCTTAGAACTACTTAATTGCCCTTCAGAGATTATTCAAAATATATTTCTCTCTCTTTTTTGCTTCTTTCACTGAAAACTATTGACTACTGTAACATATAACATGTTGGTGGTCTTACAATAAATTCCAGGAAGGTACCCTCATCACAGTAGTTGTTTTCATTAAATCAGGTTGCCAAGAAATTAAAGGGCCGTGGAGACAAAACTCCATGATATTTTCTAAAGGAGGTTCTACAAGGAAAAGGTGCAGCTTAAAACAGGAAGAAGGTTTGTGTATACATGCTGTGTAAGGCTGTATAATTCCATCTTGGCTTCTATAATGCTTATTTTAGGTAAGGAAATAATGCAGTCACTGAAATTAGGCTGTAGATTTGGGATGTATAGCAGTCATAGGGTTCAATCCAAACCTCACATCAAACTTTGTTCTTGGACAGCTTGAGAGAGTTTCCTTCTCTGATTCTGATCCAAACTGTGATTTGAAAAATCCTCTTTCCACATTGACTATCACAAGGAATGACTTTATGGAATTCAGCACATGAGTTTTAAGAATGCGTAGAATTGGGTGAAATTTCCAGGCATTTCAGCTGCTTCAGAAATATCCCACAAATTTGTATATGGTGGTGTGTTTTTTGTTTGGTTTGTGTGTGTGTGTGGAAGAGCCCAGGTTTAGGAATATTAAAAAAGGAATCTGGAGGAACTGGAGAACAAGCCCTATGAGGAGCAGCTTAAAGAGCTGGGCATGTTTAACCTGAAGAAGAGAAGGCTGAGAGGAAACATGATAGCCATGTATAAATATGTGAGAGGAAGTCATGGGGAGGAGGGAGCTAGCTTATTTTCTGCTGCCCTGGAGACTAGGACGCAGAACAGTGGCTTCAAACTACAAGAAAGGAGATTCCATCTTAACATTAGGAAGAGCTTCCTGACTGTGAGAGCTGTTCAGCAGTGGAACTCTCTGCGCTGGAGCGTGGTGGAGGCTCCTTCTTTGGAAGCTTTTAAACAGAGGCTGGATGGCCATCTGTCGGGAGTGCTTTGAATGCAATTTTCCTGCTTCTTGGCAGGAGGTTGGACTGGATGGCCCATGAGATCTCTTTCAACTCTTTGATTATATGAATCTATGAATCTTTTTGCTTCTTAGGATTTTTTGCAGAGTGGGTAAAATCTGTATAAAAGTCGTATACACTGGTTCTCCAGAAAGAAACTTGTGACATTTCAGAAGATGAGCTTCAGGCATTTTGCAATAGACCAGAAAGTGGTAACAAGGGATTTGTTTTATCTGGTATGGTGATATAGGCACTATGTACATGTGCATTGTAGAGATATCCATAAGTGAAAAACTGCTAACACTTCAGAAGGGCAAATGATAGGATTAGGAAGATAAGATGGCTGAAACTGTTTTTGTGATTTCCTTCATTTGTCTTTGCTGAACTGATGACACAGAAATTAAAGAGACATTAAGTTCTTCTTCTTTGAGATAGTGAGCAAGTGATAGTTTATTGTGAATATATAAAACAGACCTGGTACTTACTGGGATGGAAATTGTGCAATTCTCCAGATGTTATTGGATATGAAGTCCCAACAACTGTACTAAGAATAGCCATTAATGAAGAGTACTGGTTGTTGTAACCCAGCAACATCTTAGTCAGCATGATTCCCATCTTACTATAAAATTGGGTTGCTCTTAAAAGGGATTTCCATTCCTTCTTTTGTGGGTGGTTTGCTGTGTTCTTTTTCGCATTACCGAGTTTGATGTATGTGCACACATGGACATAGAAATTAGAATAGTACTTTTGATGCAACTATAAATCATTGCTTGTTTATAAAACATTCAGAGTATTTGTTTCCCTAGTTTACTGTCAGAGAGAAAGGGAATTTATTTTAGGGCCAGAGGCCTAGCTGTTCACTGAACTTTTTCTGGGAGGGGAAGAAGTGACAAAACTGGTTCTTTCTCTTTCTTGTCTCCCACACCTAACTGTGATCCAGGGGCAGTAACTTCTGCCAGTGAAAGCCTGCTCTAGTAGATTTTCCCATTTAGGAGCAGAATGTATTCTGTGGTGGCTCCTGAAAAGTGAAATTCCTTTCCCTTTGAGAGCAAAACATTAGTATTTTCCCATCTTTTCAAAGTCTGCTTATTTTGCAAATCTGGAGAAGTGTCATTGGTATTTGCTCCAAGCAAAACTGTTCTCTTAAATATTGTTTGTTCTTTTTCTTTTTGGTTTAAGTTCTGGTTCTATATCCATGGAACCAGTATCTGCAATTTCAGTTATCCAAAATATATCCTCTCTAATAATTTTCTATGTCCCCCAGCATGACTCTATGGTATTCTTGGACCAGGCATCCTTCATTTCAATAGGGGTTGCTATTATATGTGTTTTCCCATGTCCACACAGAGTCTGGGAACATATTCCCCTTAGATACACTGTTCGTGCAATGTCTGTCAGTGTGTCAATCTATCTATATGCTATATATTATGTAACTTTTTAATGGGAACCACTTTGGAAGTATTAGTGTTCTTTTTTGGTATTTGTTAAACATTTAAACAAGTAAAACCAATATACAGATAAACAAGCTACACAAAATTAACATTTTGGAAAACACATACACTCTTACATGCATATACATATGCTGTAACCTAAAGTACTAAACAGTGTTCATCACTGATATAAAAATGGAGAATAAGTATCGTATTTTTGACATACACAATAAATAGATGAAACAGCCACCATTAAAGCAAGATAACTTAAAAAATAGTATTAGTAGTAACACCATAACTGGCAATTAAACATCAAGTTTCAGAGTGGGCCTAAATACCCTGAAGGCACCAGATTCTGTCTGATTTTGGAAGCTAAGCAGAGTCAGTCCTGGTTAATGCTTAGATGGCAGATCAAAACAAGTACTAGGAATTGTAGGCTACGCTTTAGATGAATCAACTGGTAGATCACCTCTGAATATTCTTTGCTTAAGAAAATACTATTTCTATAAGCTGACAAGCAACCTGAAGGCACATACTTAAACTACATCTTCCTCTGATCAGTATGTATTGTACTAAGTAAAAATTAAATACCACTTTTTCAAACATTTTATTACCAGTGTTTAGCTGTGTATTTTATTCATGACAATACAGGACTACATCTTGTTTCAGGGGGATCTCATCCAACTATTATTCTATTATTCCATTGCCTCTGAGATCATCTAATAATACACATACACACGTATTATTAATACATATATGTATGTGTTATTATGCTCTATATAAATAGAGAGAGAGAGACAGAGCATAATTAGGAATCTGAATTTTAGTGTACATCAGCAGTGTTAAGTATCAGTTTTCGCTAAGGATCATAACTTCGTATTTACTCGAATCTAGTGTGCCATTGAATGTAATGGGCACCTCAATTTTCAAAACCCTGAAACAAAAAACATATTTGCTGGTAAATGTAATGCACAGCTGCAAAAAGTTCACTCTTTGAAATTTGGCTAGAAAATATGTCCATTACACTTGCTACCTTCTTTCACTGCTATGGTTCAATGCTATGGATTCATTTATTATTATTATTATTATTATTATTATTATTATTATTATTTATTATTATTAACTTTATTTGTACCCCGCTAGCATCTCCCGAAGGACTCGATGCGGCTTACACAGTCCGAAGCCTCAACACACAACACAACAATACAATCTAAGCAAATCAAACAATTCAAAACAGAATAAAGCAAAATAAACAACAGGCACAATACACTAAAACACAATAAAACTGGGCCGGGCCAAAGAATGAGTACAAAGATTGAAAGTGCTGATGTGACAGGAGGTGTATATGAGGCTTCTAGGGCAAGTGCGATGTGCAGCAGTCATTGGTTCTGATAAGGTGCTTATGGGACTTGGTAGTGGAGATTTCCTAATCTGGGAAGGCGCATCGGAAAAGCCAAGTCTTCAAGTTCTTTCTGAAGACTGCCAGTGTGGGGGCCTGTCTAAGGTCTTTGGGGAGGGTGTTCCAGAGTCTGGGGGCCACCACGGAAAAGGCCCTGTCCCGCGTCCCCACCAAGCGTGCTTGCGACGCAGGTGGGATCACGAGCAGGGCCTCTCCAGATGACCGAAGTGAGCGTGTGGGTTCGTAGATGGAAATGCGGTCACGCAGGTAGGCTGGTCCCAAACCGTTCAGGGCTTTGTAGGTAAGCACCTGCACCTTAAAGCTTAAATATAAACGGCAGCCAGTGGAGCTCCTTGAACAGGAGGGTTGACCTCTCTCTGTAAGGGGCCCCCGTTAACATTCTGGCTGCTGATCGTTGGACCAGTTGGAACTTCTGAGCTGTCTTCAAGGGCAGCCCCATGTAGAGAGCATTGCAGTAGTCCAGTCTGGAGGTGACCAAGGCATGGACCACTCCGGCCAGATCCGCCTTCGCAAGGTACGGTCTGCAGTTGGCGCACGAGTCTCAATTGTGCAAAAGCCCTCCCAGACACCGCCAACGCCTGAGCCTCAAGCGTAAGCGATGAATCCAGGAGGACTCCCAACTGCGGACCTGTGGCTTCAGGGGGAGTGTAACCCCGTCCAGCACAGGTTGCCACCCTATACCCCGGTCAGGTTTTCGATCGACCAGAAGGACCTCTGTCTTGTCGGGATTGA